CATGTCCTTGACCTTTTTAGCTGAAATTTTAACCCATATGAAATCAGCTACGTGCAGCCTTGATTTTATTCCACAACATTTCTCAAGAGGTTTTAACACAGTTGGACCCAGTATTTTATCCATTATTAATAGTTCCTTGGCGGAAGGTGTAGTCCCCTCTGCTTTTAAACATGCTGTGGTCCAACCACTTTTAAAGAAACCCAACCTTGATCCCACTGATTTTAACAATTTTAGACCAATCTCAAAACTTCCATTTTTATCAAAAGTTTAGAAAAGGTGGTTTCAACACAACTTTTATCTTTTATGACTGAAAATAACCTCTTTGGGAAATTCCAATCCGGTTTTAGAGCTTGTCACAGCACAGAGACTGCCCTCCTCAAGTAACCAATGACCTTCTTTAGCAGCAGACAGAGGGAGGCACAATTTAATTCTTTAGATCTTAGCGCAGCTTTTGATACTGTTGATCACACAATTTTAACTGATCGTCTCAGACATTGGTTGGTTTAAAGATACTGCACTTAGCTGGTTTTACTCTTATCTTTTAGAAAGAACCTTCGCGGTCACCATCGGTAACTACTCCTCCTCTACCTCTAACATTACCTGTGGGTGTACCGCAAGGTTCGGTTTTAGGTCCCATTTTATTCTCCATTTATATGCTGCCTCTTGGCCAAATAATTGAACGCCACAATGTCTCCTTTCACTGCTACGCAGACGACACACAGATATACCTTCCTTTGAGACCTGAGGACTCTAGGAGCCTAGCTGCTGTCAGAAACTGCCTAAACGATATCAACTGCTGGATGGCACAAAATTTTCTCCAACTGAACAATTCTAAATCTGAAATCATAGTATTCAACCCGCCAAACACCACTCATATCTCAAAGAGCAGCCTCGGTCCCTTATTCACCAATGTCCAACCCACCGCCAGAAATCTAGGAGTAACATTCGATTGCAATCTCACCTTTGAATCCCATATCAAAACAGTTGTCCGATCAAGCTTCTTCCATCTACGCACCATCTCCAAAATTAAAACAATCCTAACCCAACGAGACCTTGAAAAGATCAGACTTGACTACTGTAACTCCCTCTTTTCCGGAATCACAAATAAGTCACTGTCTCGCCTCCAGCTGGTCCAAAATGCAGCAGCTAGGCTTCTTACTGGTTGTAACAGACGACATCACATCACCCCAATTTTAGCTTCATTACACTGGCTTCCTGTACGTTCTAGAATCGATTTTAAGATTTTACTCATTACTTTTAAAGCACGGACGGCTGGCTCCAAGCTATATAACAGAGTTACTGACACCATATGAGCCAGCCCGCAGTCTTAGATCCTCGGGTGGAGCCTCCTGGTCGTTCCAAAGTCGAGACTTAAAACTAAAGGTGACCGGGCCTTTTCAGTCAGGGCCCCTCGACTTTGGAACGACCTCCCTGAGGAGATAAGACTCGCAGACTCCCTCAATTCTTTTAAATCCCTTCTTAAAACATACTTTTACAGACTTGCTTTTATGTGATGTCGTCTTCTTAATGTCTTCTCTTACTGGTTTTACTATTTTTATCTTCTTCTACTTCTTACTGTCTTTTATTTATGGTCTTATCTCGTATTTATGCTCATATCTTAATCTCCTCTTGTGTTTTAATTTGGTAATTTCTTATCTTACTTACTTTGTCTATTTATGTTTCGTATTTATAGTTAATTTTTATTTTTATTAATATTATAGTTTGGGTTTTTTGATCCTTTAACCACTGTTTTTATTTCCTTTACTGCGCTTACCTTCTCATTGCTTTTTATTTGCTTTTATCTCTTAGTTTCTTACATCTTTTTAAATCTTTGGTCCTCTTGGTCTCAGCTCATGTTGTTGGGTTCTTGTGTTCCTGGGTTCTTATGATGGTTCTTATGATGGTTGGGTTATATATGTCTGGTTGTGTATTGTGCACTTTGGGTTCTTTTCTGTTGAATTGTTTTTAATTATTTTTGGTATTTTGCATCTGTTATATTCTTACTGTTGTTAATGTTTTTCTGTGTTTAGTTTGCTTTGTTCTTGCTGTTTGTCAAAGCACTTTGTAAACCTGTGTTTTTAAAAGGTGCTATATAAATAAAGTTATTATTATTATTATTATTATTATTATAATAAACATTACGACTCATGTATGACAAATAGCAGCAGCTTCAAACTTTGAACATATTTGTTTGTCATTCCTCATTTTTTCTTTCTGTGGGTTTTAACCCTTTAACTCTTTACTAGACTCCACTAAGTAAAAACACAAGTAGTTTATAATTCAGGATGTAGTTTTAATAATTAGGAAGTATTTTGTGCCTTTTTTGTTGCCAAGTCAATATTCTCATGTTTTTTGAGTTAATAATTAAACAGGAAGATGAAATAATAACTGACATAATTCTGACACTGTTACCTCCTACATTAGCAAATGCATTGCTGATGTCACCACCACCAGAACCATCACCACCCGGGTTAACCAGAAGCCATGGCTGACAGGAGAGGTACGCGGGCTACTGAGGGCCAGGAACACCGCCTTCAGAGCTGGGGGACGCAGCCTGCCTGAGAACAGCGAGGGCCAACCTGTACCGTGGCATCAGGAAAGCCAAACGCAGCTACACACTAAAAATAACCGGACACTTCAAGGACAGCAGAGACGCGCGGAGCCTGTGGCGTGGTATCCAGACCATAACGGACTACAAACCCAAGCCACAGACCTGTGACAGCAACACCTCTCTGCTGAACAACCTCAACAGCTTCTCTGCCAGGTTTGAAGCACACAACAGCACGCCCCCACAGAAGACCACGCCCCCTCCCCACGACCAGACCCTGTGCCTGACTGCAGCCAGCGTGAAGAGAACCTTCTCCAAGATCAACACCCGCAAGGCTGCAGGTCCAGACAACATTCCTGGCCGTGTGCTGAAGGACTGTGCAGAGGAGCTCAAAGATGTCTTTTGCGACATTTGCAACGCTTCTCTGAGTCAGGCTGTTGTTCCGTCATGCTTCAAATCCACCACCATCATACCCGTTCCAAAGAAGCCTTCACCATCCACTTTCAATGACTATCAACCCGTTGCACTGACCCCCATCGCCATGAAGTGCTTTGAAAGGTTAGTCATGGCCCACATCAAATCCACCTTCCCCGCCACCCTGGACCCCTACCAGTTTGCATACCGAGGTAACAGATCCACCGAGGATGCCATCTGTTCTGCTCTTCACCCAGCCCTCACCCACCTGGACACCAAAAACTCATACGTCAGAATGCTGTTCATAGACTTCAGTTCAGCATTCAACACCATCATCCCTCAGCAGCTGATCAGCAAACTGGACCAGCTGGGGCTCAGCACTTCCCTGTGCAACTGGCTGCTGGACTTCCTCAGCAAGAGGCCTCAGACAGTGCGGGTCGACGGCAGCACATCAAAAACCATCGTCATGAGCACTGGGGCCCCCCAGGGTTGTGTGCTTAGCCCCCTGCTCTTCACGCTGCTGACCCACGACTGCGCTCCATCCTTCAGCAGCAACCACATTGTGAAGTTCGCGGACGACACAACAGTGGTTGGTCTCATCTCCAACAACGATGAGACGCACTACAGGATGGAGGTCAGCCGACTAGCCACGTGGTGCAGAGACAACAACCGCCTCCTGAACGTCGACAAGACTAAGGAGGTTGTTGTCGACTTCCGGAGAGTCCCCACTCCTAAACCCCCACTGACCATCGACGGTGCTGCTGTGGAGAGAGTGAGCAGCACCAAGTTCCTGGGGGTTCACATCAGTGAGGATCTCTCCTGGTCAACCAACACTACATCACTGGCCAAGAAGTCCCAGCAGCGCCTCTACTTCCCCCCCCATCCATCATGTGCTCCTTCTACAGAGGCACCATCGAGCGCATCCTGACCAGCTGCATCACTGTGTGGCTTGGGAGCTGCACTGCTGCCAACCGCAAGACCCTGCAGCGCACAGTGAAGGCTGCTGAACGATTATCGGTGTCCCACTCCCCTCTCTTCTGACCTCTACGGTGCCCGCCTCACCCGCAAAGCAACCAGCATTGTGCGTGACCCCACCCACCCCTCACACAGCCTCTTCAGCCTCCTGCCATCGGGAGACGGTACCGCAGCCTGCGGGCCGGCTCCACCAGACTGGAAACAGCTTCTTCCACCAAGCTGTCAGGAAGCTTAACTCTCTCCCCTCTCTTCCTTCCCTCCCCTCTGCCCCCACGAACACTGGACGTTGAAACCCCCTCCCGTTTTCCACCAAGAACTCTGGACTAAAAACTCTGTACACTCAGTTTACTGCACATTGCACATACTGCACAAGTTCACTTTTCTTTAAATTTTATTGTATTTACTTACTACCTTTTGCACAATTTAGGATTTATACCTTTGCACAATTTAGAATTTATTACTGTAAATATTATTTCTTATTTTTACCTCATTTTATTTATTTAGGTATTTTACCTTATCTTATTTTGTTGTATTGCACCGCGGGACGGAGACAAACGAAAGTTCGATTCTACTGTATGTCTGGCATATTTTGAAATTGACAATAAAGTTGACTTTGACTTGACTTTGACTTTGATAATATTAATAATTAATGCAATATGATCGAAACAAGAAGAATGAGATTCCTCCTAAACTGACTAATCTGCATACACATTCTTAAACAGATTCTCAACATAAATCAGTTAACTCAGCAGTCTCTAGTCATAATCTGTGAATTTGAAATTGTATGTAAAATCGTTAAAACCTACCTCACATTTCTCCCCGACGGTTGCAGTGATAGCTGGCTCCTCTGCTCCGTTGTTCTGCTCCATCGGTACCTCGGCCTCGTTCGCCTCCTCTGACAGAGAGACTACCACCCTCTCCTTCTCTCCAGGCACCACCACCTTCACCCCGCGCTGAGCCATTACGTCTCTGGCAAACTCTGTGATCACAGCACATCTGGGAAGGGAACAGGGGACATATAACAGAGCTTCCTTTACATTATCCTCCATCTTAACACAACAACATCAATATTCTCGTTCAGCTTCTTGCGTGAGAAGCATTTGTCTGTGCTTTAATCTTTCAAACATGGGGCGCCGTAGACAAGTGATTAGTGGGCACGCCCATGTACAGAGGCTATAGCCCTCCAAAAGGCGGCCCGGGTTTGAATCCAACCTGTAGCTCCTTTCCCCTCATGTCATTCCTCACTGTCTCCCTCCCCGATAACTGACTCGATCCACTGTCCTATCTCTAAATAAAAGGCATAACCATGGCGATATAAATAAAGGCAAACCACTTGTTAATTCGCTGTTTTATAAAATGAGATACCCTGCAGTTTTGCTTCACTGGTTGTCTCAATGCACTCAGGAGTTTTGCCACTGCAGGCTAAGGAGTCAGGCATGACCTGTAGTTCATACTAACTACACTTCTTGCTGTGAGACTGGTATCTCTGCTTTTATCCTTCTCAAACTACATTTAGTATTCACAATTTAACTACAGTTTCATGCTGATTGATAGAAACTATAGTTATTTAGTCATTTAGACCATTGTACATCATCATTAGAGGTATGTGCGATTTAGTTTAACAACCATGTTCTAAAATATAACAATGTCTTCAAAATGTTTTTTGAATGTGTAAAAAGAAACACAGCATGTTCTGTATGCTGTCCATCAGATGCTGTCACATTCTTGAAGGGTATCTTCTTGCGGTGAATCACATTATCTTGAATTCATTTAAAGTAAGTCCATGTCTCCAGGATAAAAGGGTGAAAGCAGCAAGAGTTTAAACTTACGTCAGATCTCTGTTAAATTCCTGGACAGGATTGTAAAACACCTCGTTAGCGCTGGGAAACAATATGGACGCCTTGCCCTCCTTGACCACCGTCTCCCCAGGTAACAGCCCCTCAGGAAGTGTCTTATCCGTCTCGGCTGCTGTGTGTGTGGGAGCAGCAGTCTCAACCTCATCTGAAGAGTCAGCAGGTGTGTGAGGAGGGGGTTTGACGGTGGGAATCTCAGGGTCTTGAACAGCTTTAAGGGGCTCCATGGATCTCAGCCCCCTGCTGGCAGCAGCAGCAGCAGCTCTGCCTAAGCTGCCACGAAATGTCTGTGTGGCCGAATGGGCGAGGAGAGGATAAAGATGATGGGATTTGATGCAGGGAAACAGACAAGCTGTCCTCACCAACATAAAGATAAACACAGTCTGGGGGGGAAAAAAGACAGAGAGAAGGTTTAAATGCTGCAAAGTAAAAAAAAAAAAGTGAAAACATCTTTATTATGCACAGTCAAAATGTCTTCAGAATGAATCTGGGATGTGCAGGTTAAATAATGATGTTGATATTGTTTAATAAAATGTTGGGAAGGTTGGAGAAATGTTTTAAACAATAAAAAAAAATGATTTTACTCAAACACAAATGTAAAAACAGTGAAACCAGATTAAAGCTCGTTTTTTTCAGTGTGGTCTTTTTCATTTTTCTGCAGCTGTGTGTGTTGTGTCAACATCTTTCAACCCCCCCTCCTCAGTTAATTCAAAATAGACTGTAAATATGAGCTAGCTTGAATAACAAAAGTCAGATATACTACAGGCTACTGAGCTCAGGCTGCATACAACAAAACCCACAGAGCATTTCTGAAATAGATGCGAGAGAGATATATATATATATATATATATATATATATAGAAAAAAGCCGACAAAATAATGAAGCAGTAGGCCTACATTTCATAAAGATGAACATTGCTTCTTTTTTATTTAACATAAACTAAAACAAATGCTGCGTGTTGAGTTCTTCATCGTCTTCAGTAACAAGACGTGTGAAATAAAGACTTGTTTAACTCGTTTATCTTTATCTTCCGCACCTTTAAATATGAAGTAATGCTAAGTTTAATTGTAAACACCTAGCTACTTTAAAGTTGAGTGAAAAAAAGGTTGATACTTGAGCAAAACAGTCAAAAAGTAAGTTAGTTTAGCTTGTGAACATCACATAAATCACTTAAATGTTTCAACTAAGCCAACAGCAAAGTTATTAGCCTGTCTGCTAGTACAGCTACGCGTTTTACAGACTCACCTGTGACTGCACCAATAGTCCACACTTATTTTCTTCAAAGGCTGATGTTCAATATTACAAGCGATACTGTGGACCGTGTGCTATCCGTCTCCTCACTGATGCACTCAGTGTATCATCTAAGTCCAGCTAACTCTCATGTTAACACATGGGAGCAGCCATGTTTGGAAGCGTATCTACGGAAACCCTGTGCGGCCAAATCGCAAAGCAAAGCAAATCTCGCTCCCCCTCTCCGCCCCTCCGGCAGGACTGAGTGTACTGTCGGGGGAAAAAACGGTGCAATGTAAGGACAAGAGGGAGAGGGTCGATCAGTCAGCCGCTGCATGCACACACACGCGCACGCACGCACACGCGCGCGCGCGCACACACACACACACACACACACACACACACACACACACACACACATGGCCTACTTTTCCCCACTGTGAACATGTGAGGCGGCTGGAATACACATCAGTGTGCTCCCATGAATAATCTAATTTAATCTCACCGTGCCCGAACTTGGCGATGCATTCTGATGAAAAGGCTAAACATAGCCTATGGATTAACAGAAATACCGGGACCAAAATGTTCGAAGATAAAAATGCCTTCGAGAAAATATAGGGTCAATGCAGGTCACAGCTGAGCAGCTTAAGTGGAAAAATACAGTGAATAGGTCCTTATGTGGTTCAGTTTAAGTTGTGTAGCTCACTCTCGTAAAATGAGGTTATTTAATGTGCATCTTTAGCAAAGGGTTGTAATGTGTTTATTTTTCACTTTTTATGCCTGTGTGTGTGTGTGTGTGTGTGTGTGTGTGTGTGTGTGTGTGTGGGGGGAGGGGGGTTGTTAAATTGCAAAAGGCATGAGACTCAAAAACTTGAGAAAGTTGCAAAAAATAATAGAATAATATCCAGTTTAAAGGCCAGGATTGTGTCTTTGGTGTCTTTGTCCTTACTGCCATAACCACAAAAATATATAGACCTAAACAGAGGCCTACATGTCAAAGTGCAAAACACATGAACACTAATATTCCCCATAAGCATTTGATCTATTTGACCTAAAGTATATGTCTATTCTCATCATTACAAGCAATTTACTCTTGTTAACTCACTTCAAGCTGCAAAAAAAAAAAAAAATCACTTGAAGCAGCAGTTATTGTAGCCTATCAAAGGGCTATTTTAACTATTTTTTTTTACAAGGGGTTGCTGATTGATTTGCTGCTTTAGAAAAAAAACATTTCGTAGAGGTCAATGAATAGAAAACACTCCTGTTTGTGCATAAGCCTTGCATCCTTGTAACTAATAAGAATTTAGCCTCATTAATGTATCACTCAGTGAATCTGCCCCAGAAATATTGGAAAACTTTATTACATATGGATGGAAGAAATAAGGAAACTGATTGGGCTCCAACAGCTCATTTTTGCCTGGGTGGTCAAAACAAATCCATTTCTCAAATTTGTTGAATGGCATTCTTTAAAGGGACTTTTTCCTGATTATAACCCTTTATTACACTTAAAGTTATGGGGCTATTACAGCCAGTGTCCCAACAAGTATTGAGAACTATGAAAAATAAACATTTTAAACTATGCTTGTGAACTGATCCCGGACATTTTTGGGCTGAGTTTGTTATGTGACAAAAAGAAAATTGGGCTGACTTAAGGACTAGCATGAAGCAGCTAACTCTTTTTGACTTCTGTAATAAACAA